GTTAACCAGCAGAGATATGCACTGTGCGTTTTTTTTCTTTTTTTATGGGTGGTGGTGGTGGTGGTGGTGGTGGTGATGGTGGGGCCGCCGTGGATGGTAGGAGCGCAAGGAAGCTGCCGGTAGGTGGTGTGATAAGTCAAAGTTTAGTTTACACACACATTGACAGTGAGAGCAAAATGTTAGGCCGGTTTGATGTTTTAATGTATCAAAGAAAGCTGCAATCAATATTATGATTCTTTGATCATTATTAAAATAAAAAAAGTTAATAAAAAATATGCACTAATATATGTTGTATGGGCTGATTTAATGGTTCCAATCTAGATAACTTTGTACGGCCTGCCCCAAACACCCCAACCCAAATTATATTATTGAGTTATGGTCCAATTAAATTCAAGAAAATAAGCCCTACACAAAAAGAATTACGTGGTTCACCCTTAAATGGCCTACATTCATCAGAAACAACAACACTTTATTGGTTTATACAAAGATTATAAGAGATCAAGAAATCTCACAATTCCCAGATTTCTTTCCGATCCGCGGTTCTAACTTTTGATCGATCTAGTGCGTGTGTTATGGTGCAAGTGTGTGTATATATGTTTACTAACTTCAGCAACTCATCATTCCTTATATCCCGCAAATAATCATTCCATAAGTTTCCCCCTACTTTAATTTGTCGTGGATCAAAATACTTGATATATAATTAGTAGAGCATTGAGTGCAATTTTTCTTAAATAATGGAAATATTGAATCTAATTAAAGACGAGGAGCCTGGTCTCTCTTCTACCGGACCCGCCACCACCGGCCAAACAAGAAAAGTAAGAATATATATATCATTTCAAAATATATAAAACTTGGTACGTTTGTATTATGATATTAGCATGATTGGGCCTACTGTGGGCCCATTGATTCTGATGGGCTTGGCCCATTGTATAAATAATATTATAATATATATATATATAAATTTGGACATACATAAATAGTAAATCATGATTGAGGCAGTTCACCAAATTGTGATTCAAAGATTGTGGGCGATCTCATCTTTCTGCACTGATTTTGCTATATATTTTTCATAAGAACCATGCCCATCAATTGCTAAATAAAGATAAATAACAAAAGTAAATGATTCCCCAATCTTTTCAAATCAAAATCAATAATAATAATAATAATAATAATAATAATAATAATAATTATTATTATTGTAGAAAGTTGACTGGTTTTTAGGCTTTAGTTGATGTAATTATATGGCTAATTAACTTTATGTGCAACTCCATTCATCTTACCGTAAAGTGGTTAGAAGAGTTGCATGCACTTTTGTCGGCAAATAAAGCACTAATATTTTCATTCCCTTGCTCAAACAAAAAAAATATATATAATTTTTTACCAGACAGGATGATAAATTAATTATAAAAATGTTTCGGAATATCTAAAACATTATAATAATAATAATAAAAATAAGGGTGCAAATTTAGACCGGATGGTCTGTTTTAATAGGAAAATCGGATGCCATAGGATGATTGACACGTGGATAATTTAAATAAAAATATAATTAGTATTCTAATAATTGGAAAAAAAATTAAAAAAGAAAACCACTCATAACCCGTAACCCCTCTAACACTAATTACAATCTCAAAAAAGAAACCAATGAGAATATATAAATAATGGATTGACCGAGTCAATTAGCTGCCGGTGCCGGCTGACTGACTTGTAGTTGTAGTGACGACACTGGGACGGACGTCG